CAGCACTTTGGTTTAGTATTTCTAGCCTCCAGGGCTGTGAGAGAATAAATTTCTGTTGTTGAAAGTCATCCAGTTTGTGGCAATTTGTTACAGCAGCCCTAGGGAACTAATACAACATCCTTGCCAATACTTGGAATTGCCAGTCAGCCCTTTTCATTTTAGCCATTCCGACGGGTGTGAAATGGTATCTCACTGAGGTTTTAATTTGAATATCCCTTAGGGCCAACAAAATTGATCATCATTTCACATGTTTATTGGCCATTATCTCCCCATCTTTAGGTCAAGTGTATATAATACGACGTAACCGTGGGAGTGATATTTCATCATACTCACAGGTTCTGGGGATTATGGAGGTAGTTCTTGGTGGGGCTGCTTTAGTAATTCTACCTGCCAAAGGGGTCAAGTATGACTTTTTTTCAGATGGATATCTAGTTAACCTAGTCCCCTTTCCCTGCTGCAGAGCAGTGCTACCTGTCACAATTCAAGAGACCGTATCTATGTACACCTGCTACCGGACTCTCCTGTCCCGTTGGTTTATTTGTCCTTTGTGCCAATTTCACTGTCTTGACTGCTAATTGCTTAATAATTAGTCTTGATAGCTGGCAGTGTACATCACCTAATATTGTTCTCCTTCAAGACTGTCTTGCTTAAATTTTTTTTACTTTTTTTTTTTACTTTTTATTTATTTATTTTTATTTTTGGCTGTGTTGGGTCTTCGTTTCTGTGCGAGGGCTTTCTCTAGTTGCGGCAAGCGGGGGCCACTCTTCATCATGGTGCGCGGGCCTTTCACTGTCGCGGCCTCTCTTGTTGCAGGGCACAGGCTCCTGACGCGCAGGCTCAGTAGTTGTGGCTCACGGGCCTAGTTGCTCCGCAGCATGTGGGATCTTCCCAGACCAGGGCTCGAACCTGTGTCCCCTGCATTAGCAGGCAGATTCTCAACCACTGCGCCACCAGGGAAGCCCTGTCTTGCTTAATTTGGCTCTTTGCTTTTCCTTATAAATGTAAGAATCAGTTTATTAAATTCCATAAGAAAAAAACCTGCTGGGATTTTAAAACGTGTGTACACTGAATCTACAGGTCACTGTAGGGAAATCTGACATCTCTCTATTGGAAAGTCTTGCAACTCACAAATATTGTCTATCCCCTCCATTAATTTAGATCGCTCAAAATTCCTCTCACTAATACTTTGTAGTTTTCTGAGTAAAGGCTTTGCACGTTGTTCTTTAGATTTATTCTTAGGTATTTTATATTTGTTGATACAAGATATTTTCATTTTCTATTTGTTTGTTGCTATTATATAAGAATACAACTGATTTTTGTTTACTTATCTTGTATTTAGCAATCTTGCCAAATTCACATTTATTTATTTATTTATTTATTTATTTATTTATTTTTGGCTGCTTTGGGTCTGCGTTGCTGTGCACGGGCTTTCTCTAGTTGTGGTGAACGGGGGCTACTCTTCGTTGTGGTGCACAGGCTTCTCATTGCGGTGGCTTCTCTTGTTACAGAGCATGGGCTCTAGGCACACGGGCTTCAGAAGTTGTGGTGTGTGGATTCAGTAGTTGTGGCTCGCGGGATCTAGAGTGCAGGCTCAGTAGTTGTGGTGCACGGGCTTAGTTGCTCTGCAGCATGTAGGATCTTCCCGGACCAGGGCTCGAACCCGTGTCCCCTGCATTGGCAGGCAGATTCTTAACCACTGCGCCACCAGGGAAGCCCCTCACATTTTTAATTTTAACAAATTATCGATAGATTCTTCTGGACTTCCTATGTACACAATCATGCCATCAGAAACAACATCAGTTTTATTTCTTCTTTTCCAATTATCCTCTTCTCTCTCTTATATGTATGATTTCTTATCTTTTTTTTTTTTTTTTTTTTTTTGTCTCTGTCTGGTTTTTTCTTTTTCGTTTCGGGCCTTTGGGGGCCGCGCCCCGGGCCCGCGCCCCTGGTCCCCCCGCTTGTTTTTGTGTATGGGAGTAT